GACGTAGAAAGAATCTTGTTCTTGAAATATCAAACAAGAAAATTTATGATTTTTGTTGCCCATATTCGAGCTTGATCAGTAGCAATGATATATGTATTGTTTGTTTGTTTATTTAATTCAATATGAAGCGATAATGATGAAATATTTTTCATTCGAATTGAATTACATACAGCTTCCTTTAATTGTTCTTTGGTTGTTGATTTTGGTAAATCTTCAAAATAACTACAATCAGCATCAATATAAACATGAGCAACTAGTCTATTAATTAAAAAGTCTTGATTAGACATAACAACATGTACATCATCGAATGAAGTTGATACAACACGATAAATATTAGGAAGTTGAACGTTTGTTTGATCACATGAGCGAGGGTCTTCTACATTGTAGATTTTTATACATCGATTTACAATTTCATCAGGTTTTGGTAAATTTATATCGTTTTTTTTCATTTGTTGTATCAATAACAGTATATGAAATAATTTCAATCGTATCACTAAATAAAATCAAATGTGTACCTTCTGATAGATCTAATACCATTCTTTTAATATCTTCAATTAAACGATTTTTTAATTTGATTGTTATGAACACGCATAAAACCAGCACCTAATTTTGAATAACATAGAATAATAATTGGTGTAATTTGAAAAGTTTTCTCTAAACCATTTTCAATCAAACGATATAAATAAAGATCATCTTCGATGCTTGAGAATAGATCAGAAATTTAGACAATAGCTTCATGTTCTGAAGAATATTCTTCGTCATTAAATTCGATTGATTGAAAGCTTTTTGTCGATGCTGTATGAAATTTTGATTCATGGGTTTTGTCAGATCCAGAAGAAGATTTAAGGAGTGTTGGATAATCAACATCCATTAATTCTATAAAAAATCAATATTGAAAAATAAGTTAAATTCAAGCGCTATGTTGGAAATATTCTTCTTAATTGAATTTTCAATTAACAATATCGAGCTACTATTAGAAATTCGAATGATAATATGTAAATCTTTCCTTTCATAAATGGAATGTATAATGACAAAAAACCTATTGCTCTATTAGCAATGTCAGATGAAACGTTATGTAAACATTTGTGTACGATAGAGATATGCATTGCGTGTAAAATATCAGGTAGTTCGACCGCTCGTGCTTCCTATATTGGACGACGTGGTCATATAGTGACAGCGCCTAACTACAGTTGTATGATATAGATTTTTTGCTAAATAAAGTCCTAGTAATAGAGCTTAACAACTGATATGATAATGACACTGGTGATACACATCAGTGACGTATGGCTTACTAAGGTTGATCATATACAATAGTTTCTATGAAGGTTGATTGTTTGTGCTGATACTTTAATGTGTTCGATATGACTATCGTATTCGTCTTATAACTTCCCTATGAAAGTAAAATAAATTTTAGTTGACTGTTGTATTTCTTCAAAAATTTTTTTTTAGACTATTATGAGAATTTTCTAAAGTCATAGTTAGATGTTATTCACCTATATAAGATTGATAATTTCTTATCTGAAAGAGGTTACATTCGACAAGCTTGAGTATCTGAAAAAAACGCTTTCTTTTAACTATAATATCTTTCATGTGGAATATTTACTGTGTTAGACTCGATGTAAGTCTACTAGGAATGACTCTTGAAAATATTTTTATTTCACCTTTCATTTTAACCGACATTAGTACATCTGCTAAGTCGATGTATTAACATACAAATGTTTTTTTCATAATAAGAAATTGTATCAATATTCGAGAACATTGTTAGAATTATAATCATCAGACAGTAATTTGTAAGTATCGGTTACAATACATCTAATAAAGAGTGAATACATGATGGACAGAAAATTAAGGAATTTTTCTGAATATATGTTTGAAAGAAAATATCAATCATAATAACAAGAAACATATGCTGATTTTCTAAATGATCGTCTACATTAACATAACAGAAGGAGCAACTTTCTATAGCGTATCTATTATGGCAAAACGACGATTCAATTACAGACATTGTGATTGTACAGTGAATTTTCAAGTGATCATTGACAGTAATTTCCTAAACACCATGATGAACTTGAGATAGTTGATAAAAGTAGCAAGTTTTTAACGTTCACTGCTTTTTCATTGATAAATAATACATATTACTGAATTGTCTGCTTTTTTTTCATGAATATTTTTGAACAGACTTATGAATATTTTACTTTCTTTATACAAATTTTAAGATAAATGTGTTAATAATTCATATATGAATAAATTACAATAGGGATAAAAACTGTAAAGGAACATGATACTAGATCGAATGAATAACTAATAAAAATTCCAATATTGACAAAAATTAGACGAATATTTGTTGTATATCAATTATATATTTTTTATAAATAGAAATAAAATTTAAATACATTTTCATAATAACTTTTTCGTCAATTATATATTGATCATATATCAATCTTACTTAGATCAGATCATAGATTTCATAATTTTCTTAGATTCATTATCGAGGAAGTGACATCATACTCAACCGACTATTCAACTCAATTTAATGTAAGTAATTGTATAAAGAAAGTATTTGATTATTTATCGAAAATAATATATATTCTTAACAATTGGGAATTTTGATTTTTGCTAATGTCTTCAGACTATGTTATTGATAAGCTTACAACGACTCTTAATCACTCTTATGTAGCTGTTCGGATCATCCTCATTCTCACGTACTACTATGGCTAAGGTTTGTACTAACTCTTATCTTTCTTAGTCGTACCTTTTTGGCGAGAGGATCATGATGAACATTATTGGATCTAGATAAATGGGATTATAGAACTAATTAAAAGTTAGAACAATCTGAATTACATCATCAGATTTCATTAGTGTCGTTAGAGACTTACTAAATGTATAATCTAACAATAGTGCCAAAACTCAAAATGATCAACTTTTATAATGTAAAACTATTATGAATAAGTAATAAGATAATTCTTCCTTGCAATTACTTCTGAAATAGAATTAAACATTCGGAGAATAATTATGAAAGTTTCGATTCAATACCGAGTTTATGAATATTATAATATCAACTTCTTCGATTCAAATTGCAAGAATACTAAATTTGAGAGAAAAATTATTTGATATTTAATTGATTTTTTTCGATTGATCATCAAATGAAATAATTTCAAAATTTACCTTGATTTCTTGAATCTAATGATTTGTTTTCATCATTTATCAGACGTCTATTCGAAGATGCTAATGAACTGTATTCCTTTGTTGTTTCATCTTCTTGTCGTTGTGATCAAACAGTCCAGATAGAAGATGCAGTGAATCGTGATTTTCCACGAAATGTACATCATTTTTTTGATATTTCATTAGTACCCGAACATTCATCACATTGCCAATTATTTTCATTTCTTGTTGTTGAAGCAACATATGTATCCTTTTCTGCCTAGAAGTATAATATACAATTTTACTTGTCTAATTTTTTAAATATCTCTATATATCATAGTAGTAATCATGTACTTGAAATAGATTCAAAAAACATGTGTTTAACTTTTATCTATCAAGGAATACTAATCAGATATCCTCTGTCAATTTCAGTCTCACCTAGACTGAAAGGATAAGGGCTGGAAACGGAAATTCATTTGTGTCTGTCTGCAACATGTGGTAAAAGTGGCTATATTGATGATATAAATAACCACATGTTTTGTCATGTGTACTGTGGATATGATCAATCGTACTATCGTTTTGGGCAGTTGAAGCATTTTCGCAGTCATTTAGATTATATTTTTGGGCACTCGTGCGAACTCGCCGGTCAGTTACCAAAGAAAGGACACGAATAACCAAAAATATTGCAAAAATGATTAAAATTTTAGTCCAAATGTGATAAATATGATTGAAATGACTGAAGCTACAGCACACATGACCATAACTATCATATGGTTATTGTGAAACAGACAGGTGAATACCTATTTGTAGATTATTACGTCAGTCTAGGGTGAAGCGAATCGACTGTGAATGAGCGTTGTTTGTATTTTTAGCTTATAGATATTATATCGAATTCTAGTAAAAATTCTAAATGAGATTGAATTATTGCATGGTTAATATATTTATTAGTTAAAAGCTTGCATCGGACTTCTGATTTTCTAAAAAATCACGTTTTTTATTTTCATTATAAAACTATATTATTTCGTGGTTGTCAACATTCTTTGGAAGATTGTCATCGTTCACTTGAGAAGTTGCCATAATAAGTTTATTATCAAGAGAGAATAGTGGTATAATGTAATTGATAAGTTTATTTTATTAATAAATCTAACATGGGAAATCTCTTTAATTAAATTTATTTAGAAAATTTGAATCAGTTGAAGCATTTCGAAGTAGAAGCGCGCTGAAAAAAAGAATTTTGCCAAGAATAAAACTTTAGAATTAAGAGGGACCCCGCTCAGAAAGTTGAGTTTTTATTACAGAAAGATGCAGCCAAGCTTCCTCTTTCAGAATATATATATATTTTTGGAAAATGATCAGATTTTCAAAGACTTATCACATGAAATTTAACATCCACTACCATGTTTTCCTGGAAAATTTCATGGTCTTCTGAGGTTGTCAGATTCAGAAAAATTGTGTTCCTACTAGCATTATCGTTGAATAGAACATTTTCATACTAATCTGCATGTCAGATGCCGTTAGCTGCCGTCGTCCATGACGTCCTTTAAGACGATCCAGTGGAATATACCACAGTAACATGATTTACTCTGGATTTTAATGAAAAAATCCATTTGTACTTAGGGCATACCAAAAGTAGTGGCAGTGGTACTTTAATTTCTTGTAGAAAGCTTAAAGAAACTTTCTTTCTATATAGTCTGATAGAAAAAAGAATGCTCTATCTTTCTATGCTATTTG